ACATCTTTAACCTGTGTCCCCTAGTAATTAACACCTCCACCCTGGGAAAAAGCCTCATACTTTCCTCTCTATCCATGCCATTCACAATCTTATAAACTTCTATTACGTTGTCCCTCAACCTCCTATGTTCCAGTGAAAACAAACCCAGTCTATCCAACCTTCCTTCATAGCTAAAATTCCCCATACCAGGCAACATCCTGGTAAACATTTTCTGTACCTTCTGCAAAGTATCCACATCCTGCTGGTAGTGTGGTGACCAGAACTGTATGCAATTTTCCAACTGAAGTTCTATAAAGCTGCAGCATTACTTGCCTGTCCTTATACTCCTTCAGTCCTGTCTCTGGAAAGACACTAAGACTAATCCAGTCTGTTTGTAATCTTGGTGTCATATTTGATGATACTTTGTACCATTGCTAAGGCCACCAACTTCCACCTCCATAAGATCATCCAACTTTGCTTCTGTTCTGGTTTATGTGTTGCTGAAATCCTCGTGGACTATCCCAATCACTCCTGACCTTCCTCCCCCATTCAACCCTAACTAAATTTCAGTTCATCTAAATCTTGCTGCCCATTCCTGAAGTTGCACTGAGCCCTGTTGCCCTATCACCCCTGTGCTTACTGGCCTGTATTGGCTGCTAGTCAAGCATTATCTTGATTTAAAAATTCAGGTGCCTGTTTTCAAACTGCTGCATGGTCTCATCCATCCCCGCATCCCCATAGAATCCCTACAGTGTGGAAGCAGACCATTTGGCCCATCGAGTTCACATCAACTCACCAAAGAGCATCTCACCCAGATCCAACCCCTTCTCCTCTTCTGGTAACCCTGCTTTTCCCATGGCTAATCCACCTAGTCCGCATATCCCTGGATGCTATGAGCAATTTAGCACGGTCAATTCACCTACCCTGCACATCTTTTGAACTGTGGAAGCAAACTGGAGCACCTGGAAGAAATCCGAGCAGACATGGGGAGAAAATGTAAACTCCACACAGACAGTTGCCCTAGGGTGGAATCGAACCTGGGTCGCTGGCGCTGTGAGGCAACAGGGCTAACCACTGAGCCACCATGCTGCCCTGAACCTCCATCAGGCTATACCGCGCCCCCCCCAAGACATCATCAAATGGTACATTCATAAATATCCATCTCTGCCTTTCTGTCTCAATTCATTTTGCTTAAGATTCTCCTTAAGACATACCTCTTTGACCAAAAATGTGGTCATTTCCTCATGTTTCCCTATGGGTTTTGGTGTTATACTCTGTCTTGTAATGTTTCTATGAAGTCCCAGCTGACCAGAGGACTGTTCCAAATCCTAGTGTTCCCACCACATTCCCTCAATCTCTCACCGTTGCCCTCGACCTTTCCATATGGCACATTGTTCAGCAATGCTCCTTCTTTCTCCAACTGTTCCCCAGTGTGTCCTCTGTAAACTACAATGTTCCCAAATGTATCTCCAAATATCCCATTGCTCACAATTATGTCCTATCTGTATGTGCTCCCATTGTGTCCCACTTTCCCCCCCCCGTGTACCTGTTCCTACTGTGACCCCTTGATACTCAGTTTGTCCTCTATATTTCTCGCTCTTCTCCAGATTATCTCTTCCCTGTATTTTAAAGTTCCAAGTGTGACAATTCTCTATGCTTCACTGTTCCCAACACTATCTCCTCTATATCCCACCTTTCTGACTCCATCCCCTATATACGCAGCTCTGTCCCTCTATATCCCACTTCTCCACACTTTGTCTTTTCCATAATCCCCACTGATCCACACTGTATCCCCTTCATAGCCACGTTAAGCAGCGCTACAGTCCTCTAGAACCGTGAGGTCTTAATCTTTACCCTCCTCATTGTGTTCCCTCAATAATATTCTGATTCCCACAGATTCTTACCTTTTAGAATCCCTACAGTGTGGAAACAGGCCATTCGGCCCAACAAGTCCACACGATCCCTCTGAAGAGCATCCCACCCAAATCCATTCCCCATGTCTAACCCACCTAACCTAAGCATCCCTGCACACTTTGGGCAATTTAGCATGGCCAATCAACCTACCCTACACATCTTTGGACTGTGGGAGGAAACCGGAGCACCCGGAGGAAACCCACACAGATACAGGGGGAATATGCAAACTCCACACAGACAGTCACCCAAGGATGGAATTGAACCCAGGTCCCTGGCACTGTGAGGCAGCAGTGCTAACCACTGAGCAACTATGCCACCAATATATCCAATTGTCTTCTCTAAGTCCTGTCTATATAGCTGTCTTCCCAGGCATTTTTCCCAGAATGTTTCAACAGCACCCACCATTCCCCAACATATCCATTCATATTCCAATGATGCTCACTATAATCCTCCAATGCATCCCACATTCCCAGTGTTTCCCTCCGTTTCCCTGTGTGTCCTCTCTAAATCCCATCATTCTACAGAGTATTCGGATTCTTCCCCCAGGTTGGCCGCAGTGAGTTTCCACTGTATACCCCGTTGTTTTCCCAGTGTGTTCCCTCTATATCCCACCTCCTCCTCAATGCTTTACAATTTACACTCACTGTTTCCTAGTGCAGTAAGTGCATCACACATTTCCCAGAATACCTTTCCCTGCAACAAACCCCAGTAGGTTGCCATCTCTATAGTCCCATTATTCCCCAACGCATCTATGCTACATTCCACCATTTCTTACTGTAACCACTGGATATTATGCTATCCATTGATGTCAGTATTCCCCAGTGTGTCACATCTAGATCCCACCATTCCTTAGAGCATCCCTTCTACATCTTACTGCAGCCAATGATATGTATTCTGCTGTTCCTTCATATCTCAGTATGTCTTGTGTATATCTACTTGTTCAGTAGTGCAAATCCTGCAGGTACCACTTTCCCATTGTGACTCCTCAACATCATACTGTTCACCAGTGTGTTCCCTGTAAATCCCACAGCTGCTTCCCCTTCCAGTTTGCATCCACCCTTCACTAGGACGGCCCTTCTTGATCGCACTGTTCCCTGTTTTACTAGTTTTTCCTAATTGCTCCCTCGATATCCTTCTGTTGTTGTGTATTCTCACTATACCCGTCTTTCTTCGAACATGACTCTTCATGAGCTGTTGTCCCTAACGGTGACCCCTCTAGTTTGTGTTCCCATGCATTGGCTGTATACACTACTTGGTACCAGAGCAATGCCTAAAATATAAGAGGCAGTGCCAAAAATACCAAAATAATCCAGGAAACATCACTCACAGGAGTGACCAGTCACCTTTGTGAATAGAATAACCTCCTCCTGCTCCTAGTTTCTATGTTTCAATGAAATGGTAAGAAGCTGTTCTTCCAATCAAAAGCCAGGTCTCCCCTTTGCTTATTGCTGACAGGGGAGAAGTAAGCTGTGATTGGAGGGCAGGAAACAGCTAGGAAATTCAGTGTGGCTAGTGAGGAAGTCACCAGAAGATCAAAACACCAAAGTCTGGGATCAGGGGCATCTGCAGGGAGGTATGAGAGTCAGGTAGACTGGGCTGGGAGCTGGAAAGATGGGAGGCAAGGAGCAGAGAGCCTGGGGTCTAGGACCGTGGGCCCAAGGTCCAGGCCCTTTTTTCTCCAGCCAGGAGAGGAGTGAGGTGCTAACTTTTTACCAGGGCATCTTGCGTTGTGTCTGTGTGTGTCAGTGTGTGTAGTGAGGATTGGGGGGTGGGTGGAATGTTGGTGAGAGAGAGATTGGTTGGCAGAAGATAAGGAGTTAGTGGAGGTCAGAGAGCTAGGACGAGACAGGGGGGCTGCAAGTCAGCTGAGAAAGAGGAGGTTGTCTGAAGAGATGTGGGAGAGAATGGGAAGCTAAAAAGAACAGAGAACAGCTTCAAATCTCCCAATAAAAGTCTCCAGAAACTGTGTTTAAGGTGATGGCTTTTTGTGTGTAGACACATTTGTCAGTCATCAAAGAAGTTTACTAACCTCTGCTTGTAGTTTAGTGCCAACTATGTAATCAGTGTTTTCTTTTTGTGTTGGCTTTAAGGTTAATGCAGTTGATAATTATTGAGGATACAATGAATTCTTCTAATTCTGCTTTTAAGTAAGTCTAAGTACCCCAGGCATCAACACAAGTAACGAATGCAATGTAACTACATGACTGCAATGCCTAACAAAGAAGTTAATGAGAATAAAAAAGCAGCTCCTGACAATCAAAAATGCAGCCATCAATAAAGGTGTCATTGAAAAAAGAAAATAATTTTTGACCTGCTCCCAAAAGGGTATCTTTTCCCAATTTTCTCAATATCCCAGTGCCACCATTTGTTTGCATGCTGTAATCAATGTTGATCAACATCTCTGCTCAGTATATCTCACTGTTCCACATTGTGGCCCCTCATTTTCCCACTTTTTGCTTAGTTCCATCATTATCTACCACTCTTCCCTGTTGCATTCCTCAGCCCCGCAGTATGCCCCCTCAATATGTCATGCTGATTCCTGGTGCATCCCCATTATGTCCCTCTGGACCACAGGATTCCTCAGTGTGACCCCTCTGTATAACTCGGTGTTTCTCAAAGTGTCCCCTCTTTTATCTAGTGATTCCACATTGTGTCTCCTCTAAATCCCAGTGTACAACATTTTCCCAGTTTTCCTGTTCTCTATACATCTCATTCTGTTCTGTACCTCACTGTTCCCCAGTCTGACCTTCTAGATTCTGTGGTTCCCCAGTGTGTCCCCTCCATATCACATTTCAGTTCTATGGCTCTTGTGTTTCTTACCCTTTGTTTCATACAATTCTGCACCTGTATCAACTATATCCAGCACAGGTATGTTCCCTCTGCATCCCAATGCTATCCCCAATGTGTCCCCCTCTGCATTCCACTGCACCCACCCCCCAAGTGTGTTTCTTCTATATCCCTTCACTCTCCATGTGCTTCATCTGTGTTTTTCTCTCAATGAATGTTAATTGCTAATGTCATTGTTCATTCCCTGATTGATGTTTCATTCTTTGAATTATTTCCCAATGTGCCTGTTCGGAATTGTTCTTTTCTTTGAAAAACAATGGATGTGACTGGTCTTACAGCAGCACCCTTGGACCTGTCTTCACAAGAGGTCACAACAGGTAAGACTGCGCTTTTGCTCTGTCCCAAATACAGGATGCTTTTGATCGCCTGTTCTCATTGCCCAAACATCTAATAAAGGTTGAAATGGACTGAGAGACAGAAACAGCTGGCTGACACTATCAGGCAATCAAAGATTGAGCATGAAATTTGTACATGAAGTGGGTATGAGTAACTTGGAGGCTCCCTGTATGTTCCTCCTTTGGGTTCACAATGGACCCTCCACTGGGGCCCTTCCACAAGCTGAGTATGCAGACCTGCAAAAATTGCTCTTCTAAAAAAAAATGTTGTGGGTTGGGGTGGGAGTGGCGCTCAGGTCTGGCTTGCAGTCTCAAATAAAGCAAAGTTCATCTTCTGGACACTGCTCCTGGCAAACCCAGGGAATAACCGTGAGGATATGGAAAGAAAATTGTGTGTTTCTTTTTCGTCTTCTTTGAACCCTCCTCTTCACTCATATAAAAATATTGGAGAAAAGGAAAAAGATGTTTGACCACAGCCACAAACCATCCAATCATTTCATAAAAGGGATTGTTTTCTGTCCAACTCACAATGAAAAGATAGGACACTGTGAGGCTGGATGGTGGGATTGTGGAGGGAGGAGGGGCAGTTGAAGGCAGTCACGTGAATTATGACCAACCAGAGACAGGGATACTTTACCGAGGTTCTATAATTGTCTGCTGCAAGATCCATAATCTACAATTAGAACTGAAATGGTCACCTGTAGCTGACCAGGATCAGCCCTAAGTATCATTGTAAACCTTCCCTTCCTGGCTAGAGTGAACATTGGCATTTGGAAATTCAGCTTCAGTCAACATGGCCATCCTAATATGTAATACCATGGTAAACATATCCTCGAGATTTTAAGTCGTGTTCAGAGTGAATCCTGCTGCTGAAAGTTGGAATGTCACTCCAGTGCACAAATCCATAATTCTAAAAAAAAAACCGTTATCTATAAATAAATTTTGCAGGCCTCTCTGAACACAGAATTAGTCCCTGGGGACTGGAGGATTGCAAGTGTGACGCTGTTGTTTAAAAAGGGGGCAAAGGATAATCCACAAATCTACAGACTTGTCAGCTTGACATTAGTTGTGGGAAAACTGATGGAGACCATAACATGGGATAAGATAAAAATACAATTAGAGAAAAGTAAAGTTAATACTAGAAGGTCAACATGGCTTTGTCAGGGACAGGTCATGTGTGACAAATTTGATTGAGTTCTTTGATGAGGTGACACATTTTTGATGGTGGGTGAGGAAAGCGCAGTGGATATTTGGAGTTCTAGAAAGTATTTGAGACGGTGCCACATAGCAGATTGACTAGCAAATGCGAAATTTTTGGGATTGATGGGTGCTTGGCAACATGGATTAGAAGTTGACTAAAAAAATAGGAAATAGAGGGTGGACATAGATGGGCATTTCACAGATTGGAGATGAGTTGAAAGCAGTGTTCTGCAGGGATTGGTGTTGGGACCCTTGCTTTTTCTGATTTATACAAAATGATCTGGAGAACGGTGTAGAGGACAGAATCTCTAAATTTGCAGATGATAGTAAACTAGGGAGAATTGTGAATTGTGATGATAATGCTGAGAGATTTCAGAGGGACATTGACAAGAAGGCCAAATGAGCAGACATCTGGTGAATGAATTTCAATGCAGACAAACGTGAGGTCACACATTTTTGGTAGAAGAAACATGGAGACACAATACAGGCTCAAATGGTACAATTTTGAGGGGAGTATTGGAGCAGAGGGACCTCAGGATTCACACACTTAACTCTCTGACGTTGGCCAGGAAAGTTGAAACAGTTGCTAAGAAGGCTTATTGGATCCTTGGGTTTATAAATAGACGCATACAGTATAGAAACAAGGAAGTGACACTACATCTGTACAAATCATTGGTTAGACCACATTTGGAGTATCATGTCCAGTTCTGGGCACCTTATTTAAAGAAGGATTTTAAGGCCCTGGAGAGAGTGCAAAGGAGATTTACTAGAATGATACCAGGAATGAGGGACTTTAGATACAAGGAAAAAGAGAATTTGAGCTTATTCTCCTTGGAGCAGAGAAGATTGAGATGACCTTATTGAGGTGTTCAAATTGTGAACAATTTTGACAGGTTAAAGAAGGATATCCTGTTTCCATGAGCTGGTATGTCATAACTTGGGGTCACAGTTTCAAGATTTTCAGCAAGAGAGCAAGTATTGAGATGAGGAGAAAATTCCTTACCCAAAGGTTTGTTAGAATTTGGAATGTGCTGCCTGGGAGAGGCATCGAAAAGTGTGTATAAATATATATAAATGTATTTGAAAGGGATGAATTTAGAGGGCGATGGAGATTGGACTGGAGGATGGGACCAACTGGGTAGCTCTTTTGAGAGCTCCTGCAAACATGATAGATTGAATAGCCTCCTCCGGTAATGTAAAATGTTATGATTGTAGAATTTACTGCTTCAGATTATTTATGACGAGACATTTATGCTGATGGTCCTGCTGAAAGTAAACACTTTGTACAATGGTGACCAGTTTTCAGGTTTTCCTGATTGAGAGGACCTCCCCTGCCCTAATTTAGGCACACATAATGTCATGCCGACCTGACCAAACTTGAACCGGTCGGCATGGATGAATTAGACCGAACATAAGAACTAGGAGCAGGAGTAGGCCATCTGGCCCCTCGAACCTGCCCCGCCATTTAGTAAGATCATGGCAGATCTTTTTGAGACTCAGCTCCACTTACCCGCCCACTCAGCATAACCCTTAATTCCTTTACTGTTCAAAAATGTATCTAGCCTTGCCTTAAAAACATTCAGCAAGGTAGCTTCAACCGCTTCACTGGGCAGGGAATTCCACAGATTCACAACCCTTTGGGTGAAGAAGTTCCTCCTGACCTCAGTCCTACATCTGCTTCCCTTTATTTTGAGGCAATGCCCTCTCGTCCTAGTTTCACCTGCTAGCGGAAACAACCTCCCTGCCTCCACCTTATCTATTCCCTTCATAATCTTATATGTTTCTATAAGATTTCCCCTCATTCTTCTGAATTCCAATGAGTATAATCCCAGTCTACTCAGTATCTCCTCATAATCCAACGCTCTCAACTCTGGAATCAACCGAGTGAATCTCCTCTGCTAGTATATCTCTTCTCAAGTAGGGAGACCAAAACTGCACACAGTACTCCAGGTGTGGCCTCACCAGGACTCTATACAGCTGCAGCATAGCCTCCCTGTTTTTAAACTCCATCCCTCTAGCAATGGCAGACAAAATTCCATTTGCCTTTTTAATCACCTGCTGTACCTGCAATCCTACTTTTAGCGATTCATGCACAAGGACACCCAAGTCCCTCTGCACAGCAGCATGCTGCAATTTTTCACCATTTAAAACATAGTCCATTTTCCTGTTATTCCTACCAAAATGGATGACCTCACACTTATCAACATTGTACTCCATCTGCCAGACCTTTGCCCACTCACTTAGACTATCTATATCCCTTTGCAGACTTTCAGCGTCTTCTGCACACTTTGCTCTACCACTCACCTTAGTGTCATCTGCAAATTTTGACATACCACACTTAGTCCCCAACTCCAAATCATCCATGTAAATTGTAAACAGTTGCGGTCCCAACACTGATCCCTGAGGCACACCACTAGCCACTGACCACCAACCAGAAAAACACCCATTTACCCCTACTCTTTGCTTTCTACTGGTCAACCAATCCTCTATCCATGCCAATACATTACCTGTAGTACTGTGGAACTTTATCTTATGTAGCAGACTTTGGTGTGGCACCTTGTCAAATGCCTTCTGGAAATCCAGATACACCACATCCACAGGTTCCCCATTGTCCACCATGCAAGTAATGTCCCCAAAGAATTCCACCAAATTAGTTAAACATGACCTACCCTTCATGAACCCATGCTGGGTGTTTCCAATGGGACAATTTATATCCAGATGTCTTGCTATTTCTTCCTTAATGATAGATTCAAGCATTTTCCCCACTACCGAAGTTAAACTAACTGGCCTATAGTTACCTGCTTTTTGTCTACTTCCTTTTTTAAGCAGTGGCGTCACATTGGGCTGTTTTCCAATCTGCGGGAACCACCCCAGAGTCCAGTGAATTTTGGTAAATAATTACTAGTGCATTTGCTATTTCCCCCATCACCTCTTTTAGTACCCTGGGATGCATTTCATCAGGGCCAGGGCCTTTAGCCCCATTAGCTTGCCCAGCACTGCCTCCTTAGGAAGAATCTGTTTCCATTCTGTACAGCTCTATGATTCCATAACCTGCCTGTGATAATCATTGAGTTTATCGTGCTCAATCCAATTACCTACCCCATGTCAATATGTCCCTTAAAGTGAAAGAAGAATGTCAACCAGTACTCACTAACTAGTAAGCCTAAACCGTACTTCAAGCCTGCTAAAGGCTGACTAGAACCACAGTCTAACCAGTACTCCAGGCCTAACAAGTGCAGATTGAACTATAGGCTTCACTGGTGATCCAAGCCTAAACATAATGCTACAGTCCAACAATGACCAGATGTCTAATTAGTAGTCCAGATATAACCAATACTTCAGACTTTTGGTGCCAGTGACAAAATGGATTTAACTGATGCTATAGGCCAGAAGGCACCAATCTCTTAGGCTCATGTCAACAAAATGGATTGTACAAATGCCCAAGCATCTGCACTGGGCACGTCATTTAAAGATTATTTATCCTGCATCTCAGATATGCTGTACTGCACTGGATATTTCAGAATTTATCTTCTTTACAGCTGGAGGAATGATCTTAGGGACACAATAAAATAAAAGGTTATTTTTACTTTCCTTGAACACTTGGATATATCAGAAATAGAAATATTGGAAAAGAGGAAGAAATGGCTATTTGATTCTCAGGTTTGTTGGGAGATACAACAGGAGTTACATATAAACATACAAATCAGGAATAGGGGAAGGCCATTTGGCCCTTACAACCTGCTTCATCATTCAATAAATTCATGGCTAATCTGCCTGTGTTT